TCATTACGGCTGACAGAAATACAGAAAGAGAGAGGAACAGTTCGCAGCCGACGAATTTATACGTATTCTTATGGAATCTATAGAGGGCGCTTTTTAACATCATAAATCTCCCACAAGATGAACTTTTTTCAAATTTTTAATTAGCAAAAGTTAAAATTCAATCTTTTTCTACTTTACTAGTGCTTATATTCTTAAAGTTTTGTGTTATTAAAACAGGTTCCGTTCATTTTTTTAAGATTTCAATAAATGCACATTTATTGAATATTTCAATATTTCGAAAAAAAAAATAGTCCAATTTTTTTTTCGAAATATTTAGTTGATTTTGGTGTATTTTTTCAAATTTGAGAAAATGTATATTTGACATTAATTTGACATTTGGTAATTTTGTCTCCCAAAATGCATACTTCTGATGTAATCACATGTCTATATATTTTTTATGTATATACTATATAAATTAAACTTATATGCTTCATTTCTTAAAAATTATTGCATATGTGAATTCTTTTTATATTAAAAGTCCATATAATTCTTTTTAGGTATGTACATATGTGATTTTAGTTTTATTAGGCAATATTTTCACATTGTTAGCAAGCTTAATTAACTGATGTACCTAAACTGCCGCATCAGAAATTTTAAAACATATACACATTTCTTTACAATTTTTTGTTATGTATGTTTTTATATAGGGAACAACTTGAAACGACGCATCTTTTATAATGATTATAACATTTTTAAAGCACTTTCATAATTAAACTTAAAATCAAATAACTACGAACTTAAACTAAAATCTTATAAAATTTTTATTAACTCTATTTCAAGCCGTGTAGCTAGATTAAATAAAGTTGGGTCAAACCAATGGTTTGTATTGGAGCACTTTTCCCTTCAACAAATGGAAATACTGCTTTTAAATACAGTCTATGTATATCCACCACACTATTAAAATTATTTTCATTCATAAACGAAACTTTTTCTAGGATTGCATATATTTAGGATGAACGATTTATGCAGTATTTGAATCAAAGCGAAAATTAATATAAAGTGGGGTTAACAAAATGCTCGATTTTAAGGGTTAATTGTGTGAGTTAAGAAAAATAATTATATTTTTTAATGTCATGGAATTTACCGTTAGCTTTTTGCGTTTATAGAAATTTTAAAAATCTTGTCGTTTCGGAAATATAAGGTGTCAAAAATTCAAATTTTAAAAATTTCAAGAGGCGATAACTTGAGAGGGGGTGGAGATGGAAAAAAATTTTCTTCTAACGAAATGAAGCATTTATTAGTGTCTAAAAGCCTCAAGCTTCTACAGTCTGGGATCTAGAAGAAAAACGACATCAAAAATTTGGAAAAAACGGACTTTAGATAACGGTAAATTTGAGCGGCCATTTTGTTTTTCTAAAGTTTAACTATAGTATACCGCGGTAGGGGAAGCAAGTCACTGCCTTTAAGCAGTTTGCAAAATCTCAAAAATGCTTATGGTTTCACTGCACTAAATAGTTAAGAAATAGTATTTTTAAGGTTTTGGGGGGGTATAACTTCTAGAGGGGGGCAGATATGTAAAAATTATGTTCTACAGAAATTAGTTTCTAGTAAAGATCTATGTACGTATTAAACTTCAGCTTTCTATCTTCAAAGATGTAAAAGTTTTGTAAACAAAAAAAAAGTGTCCACGGACGGACGGACAGAGTGAAACTAATAAGCACTTGGAAAAGTTCTAAAAATAGAACACCAAATTTTTTTTATTCACTGTATTATTATTTTTTACTTTCAATTCTCTCTCACATGTTGTCTGACATGGAAGTACAAAAAAATTGCAAAAAACTCGAAAATATATTTAATCAAAATTACAGTTAAAACTTTGAGTTGAAATTTGAATTTTTGATATGTTGTTCAGAAAACTCCAAATTTTATTTTAGTCTTTTTTAGGTTTTAGTCAACGTATAGAAAACTCGAAATGAAAATAAGCAAAAATCATCATTTTCCAAAAAAATGCAAAAGGAGGAACCGGGGACACAAATTTTCAAATCGGAGCCAAACGACAACCCTGATGCAGCCATTTTTTTAGATAACTAAAAAAGAGAATTGAAATTCTTAGTGAACGACGAACGATTCATTTTTGAAGAAGTGAACTAATCAGCTGTGTTCAATGAAGATTCGTTCTTTAAGGTTAGTTCGTTCGCGAACGACACATGACTAATATGTACATATCGCTGGCAAAACTGTGATACCACGTAAGTGCAAATATTTCCAAAAGCACTTAATCAATTTTCTGTTTAGGAAATGTCAAACAATCCATCTTTTAAATTTATGAAAATATGAAAATTATTTAAAGAATATGTAATTATTTATTAGTTTTTACTGTTTCGTAAATTTAAAAGATGGATTGTTTGACATTTCCTAAATAGAAAATTGGAGAGATGACATCATCAAGCCGAGAATCGAGGGCCAAGAATAGGGAAAAACGCTGATGATCTTCCAGGCCCAGAACAGGGGAACACTCGGGTTTGAAAGTTGATGGGGCAGCAGGAGAACGGAAACAAGAATGTTTTCCAAATAGGGATCGATCACTATTCCGCAGAGGCCATCAAGTAGGGCGGTCACATTGTGCGGTAACGCTTTCGAGAAATTCTGAGAAAATCCTTAGTCAACCTAGTCCAAAAAAGGTGTCGGAGACTTTTTGAAGGATATGAAATCCCGGCAAGGATATTTAAGACAGGAACCCTGGGAATACAGAAGACAGGTCAAAGGACTGTCATTTAAAGACGCAAAGGTAGTATTGGATTATGGGTAGGACCAGCCCAGAGACTGCGTTGTAATAAAATGTAAACCTAGAAATATTTAATGTAGGAAATGCCTCAACTTTTATAGTTTGGTAGCCCGAATGTGCGGTTTGTGGTACGCGACAAGTTGTAGGAGCAGGTTTCTATGTTGGACCATAGAGTCATTCACTTTGTCCTACGTCGCTTGATGGAAGCGAAATCTTTTTTAAGTTATTTCAGGCGGGCAAACTGGGAGGGATACAGAAGGAACCTGAAGGCGAAATTGTTAAAGGCCTCGATTAGAATTTTGGCCAGGAATTCCCTGGTTTTAGAAAGGACTATTAATAAGTTTGGACGCGTTATGGTCGGAGCTTTTGAATCGAATTGCCTCATTGGTATGCTAAGAGACTCACTGAATGCACCTTGGTGAGCCCAAGGTTGGAAAACCTGAGGGATGAGATTCGCAGGCTTTCCAACAAAGCTAAGCGAGAGGGTACTTGGGAAAAGTAAAAGCTGAACTTGACGGCCTACAAGAAAAAGATTCGTAAGAGAAAATAGTAGACAATTATGTCGAAACTAAGGTGCTTCGCTAATATGAAGTCTGGTGGTAGAGGAACTGATGTCCAAGCTGATTGTTATCATTGATAGGTTGGCTGTTTGTGACGTAGTTCATTGGGGATTGTGGGTTGCGCTGGCCTGGTGTGATGACGGAGGAAACAGACTTAACACTAGCATGACGATCCTGGTGACCTTCATTAGGAAAAGAAAGCTTGAGCACCTGCGCACAATTTATGTGTGCGGGGCGTGGCGGCTGTACAGAGAAAACCGGAGGATATAAACCTGGGAGTGATATTTGTTTCAAAGTTCTTTATTGGAGTTACGAAGAAGCTGTATATATACGGGAAACCTGTCGGCTATGGTTTGCAAGGCCGTCAGCGGGGGCTGCTATTTTTAAATTAGGAAGAAATGGAGTGGGAGTGATCGGGGCAGCCATCAGAATATTCTTATCGGGGAGGTTCCGCTCCTATCGAATCGCTAAGCTTGTTTTCTGTATCCTTCGCGGCAGTATGGACCTGTCTCGAGAAGCTTAATAAATTATTAGCTTTTCGAGACAGCTATTATTCTTCGCGGCAGCTGATGCGCTGACAAGGAGGGAGGCAAACAAACCTCTGCTTGCGCCGAAACTCTTTTGTGGAATCGGGTCACATACTATTCGTTTGAAACTAAGAGAGAAATCAGAGAGGAGGTCGTCGGAGAGCTGGAGAAGTCATCCAAGGCTAGGGCAGGCCTCCTAGAGGTTTCTGGGAGATTATAACCAGAAGCGATTTAAGAAAATTATAGGGATAGGCAAGAATCAGGTGAGAACGCTCGCCGAGGTCTTGTCCGGTCACTACAGATTAAGGGGGCACGTCGGCCGGTTAGGTCTGGAGAGTGGGAACACTTGAAGATTCTCTGGGGTAATGGGGAGACCTAACAAGTTGCTTGAGTTTATCAGGGAGATGGGTCTCGAGTGAGTGTTGTAGGGCGCACCACGCATTCTGGGAGATGGCGCCCGATAGATCGTTATACATGGTCGCGGTGCACTGTTGCTCCGGTTCCACAAATCTACAATCAACAATCTACAAATGTATGTATGTGTTTTTACAAAAAAAATTGATTTAGTAAACAAGATATTTGGACTGATATAGCCAACGTTAAACATTATGTAAAATATGTATTTGGTTGACGCAAGCATTTTCATATTGTGTCCGTGGATTACAAAAACAAAGTTTTTATTATTTTGGAATACATGTCTCGCGGAACAATATGGTACCTACATATTATATGTATACGCTGACTTTTACGTGACTTAACTTTTATGTGACAAAGTACAAATAAAATATTGAAAATTTTTGTTGCAACGGAATTATTTAGTATAGTAATAAAAATTTACAACGGTATTGGTGTATGTGTATAAGAATCATACTTACTTGAGTTATATAAAAATATAACTCAAGAAAGTGAGTGAAAATTTTATTATGTTAGCTGTAAATAATCCTTTTGAAAGAGCAAGAAAATCTAGACAAAAAAAAGCTTTTTGATTTTTCTCTACACATGTTATAAAAATAAGAATAACTAAGCAAAAATTATCAGCAGCCAATCGTATATACAATGAAAAATTTTAGTTCTTATGTTATTCATTGATGATTTCAAGTTTATCGTTGATGTTCGAATAGAACAGATGTTTATCGCACGCAATATATTTTAAATTTTTTTTAATAGCATTCATGGTTAATTATTTTTTGTGTTTAAATATTGTAGTATTACATAGCATTGATATTGCTATTTAACATACAATCCCAATATTCACAACATCCAATATATTTTATAAGTTATATATGTGTTTAAACGTATAGTATGTGCAGTATGAAAGCAGTTTTAGAAGTGTAAAGCATATTAAAGAAGAAAATCTGAATATATTACTTGAAGGAAAAGAAACAAATTTTAATTTAAGATTATTTTCAAGATCTTAGAAAATATTTTATTAAGCAAAAAAATATTCCACAAAAAAGTTTAAAAAATTTTAAAATAATAAAAATTATGCAAAATTATAAAAATAAAATCGCGGAAAGCTTTTGGATATATGTGGTCGGTCTTTTAAATAAATAGAAATTTGCTAATCATTGTTTTGATATAATTTTTGTTATAACATGAATAAATTTTGAAATGTTCTATATAATTTTAATGTATTATGGTCGCAAGAATTTATAAATGTTAGTGTTTTTGAGCGTATAGGCAGAAATTGTATATGTGCTGTTTTTATAAAACACACGTAAAAATCGAAATTTCGGTGTTATAACATAACGGTATTTCAGTTAAAATATAGTAGTAATATTTAAGAATTTTGCCGGTTTCTTTTATTGGTGGCAATCTAATTACATTACATAAAAAATATTAAAATGTGGACACAATTACTTAAATATGTGTGATTTTCTTATATTTAAATTAAACTTAATAGAATAGAATGTTTCTTTTGAAATCATAATGTACTGGAAGATATCAAGGAAGGACTTTTAGGTTTTGTATATGGCTAAAGGTATATTATATACATACATATATATATAAATTTATATGAGTGTATAAGTAAATATATATTGTATCATTTTGTATTCTGCATATTACTGTAGAACATATACTTCATAATATTTGACGTTTTTTTTTTGAAAATAACAAAAAAAGAACTCTTTTTTAAGTAAAACAACAAAAATGAATCTTAAAATAAATAATAATATTAAACAGAGTAAAAAAGTTAAAGAAAAGGAAAACAAATATGGAGACAAAATTTTAAAAACAATTTTGGAATTGTTTACTTTATTTAAATGAAAGTAGGTAAACTATTTCTAAATAAAAACAAAGTTTTTCTAATATACACGTTTATTTTATTATCCAAAAATATTCGAAAAATTGCATTTCAATGCGGCACCATTTAAATTGTTTGAAAGAAAAAACAGAGAAATGAAAATATAACACAATATGTATTTTTGGAATAGTGTCACTAATATAGAATTGGGTTAAGGTGGAATGAAAAAATAATAATTAAATAATATTTTGTTTATTTGTTTTATGCTTGCTATCTTTTCATGTTATGTTCATTTTTATTAATTTTGAATTATGAAAACATAACGCGAAATTAAAGTAGACGTATAAATTGTTATTTATATAATATAAAAGAAAATATTTTATACACACCTTGTGTTTATACGAAAAATGTTTGATTTTATGTTTCGAAGTTAGAAGTAAAGCAACTGTGTATGTATGTGTGGTGTATATTACGTACCACAATATCTAAAGTCCTTACAAAAACAAAATAATAACAATGGTTTTTATTTAAGTTAAATTTAAGATTTAATATAATATTTTTAAAGAAAGTTAAATTGTTGTAAATACGAGTATGTATTTTTAAAATATGCTTGAAAACATGTGTTAAATAAACTATAACTGAAAAGAAAATAATTGAACATAAGGTTTTAATAATGAAAATTATTGCAGATATGTTTATGTACATATGTATACTGTTTTTGTCTTGTCCATCAATTATTTGCATTTATACATATTTGTTTTTTAGTTTTATATGCAGGTAATATGAGAGAAAGAGATTTAAAGGATTAAATAATTGTGTATAGAGAAATATAAATATAGTTCCTTTGTCTAGATACATGTCTACATATGTACATATATCGGAGCATTATGAAGGAAAAATAAATGTTTACTTATTTGAATAATTTTGAATTTATAAAATAAATTCAAGTACTTTATAAATATTATATATTTTATATATTATATATTATATATTTTTGGAACATATATTAAAAGCTTGGTTTTCGGAAATGTATTAAGTATATATGATATTAAGTAGTAGAATTTTTTAATATTTGAATGGATAAATTATCAATTTAACTAACTTTCGTAACATAAGTTAGTTAAATTGATATAACACTTTCAGGTATAAATAATTTTATTCGAAATTATTGCGGTAACCTAACAGATTATGTCTCAAAGAAGATATTACTGGACGAAAGACATCTGGTTTGTCCATTTGAAAAGGTTGAAGTTCATTAAATGGTGTCAATGATTGTAAGAGTAAACTAAAAGTAATTACCATATTGTGTAGAACTAGAGTAATTACTTCTATATTGTGTAGTTTATACAATATAGAAGAAATTACTATATTGTGTAAACTAAAAGGAATTACTTACTGAAACGGAAATATCTGAAGTTTTCACCTTGTCTTATAACTTTTCACCGAAGTTTGATAATTTTTTCTTGCAATATTCAAAGCTCTGCTTTAATTTTAAATGTTTACACAGAAATTCTTAACTGAATATGAGTACATATAAAGTCAAAAAATAAAGAGGGAAAATAGAAAACTATAATTAAGAATAAATATGTATTATTATTTCTTTCAACGATCTTGTTGAACTCTTTTTCTCAACCTTCATCTTTTTAAGATTTTAATACTTTATTAGGAAATAATGAAAAACTATTATTAAGTATTCCATTTTAAATATTTCTTCCTCAGACAGACAGGAGTCTAAATGATGGCTATTCTTAAAATATGCATAGAGTAAAATAAAAGATTTTTTGATTGTTGTGCGGAATGTGAAGATACTTGCGTGATTTATTTTAGAGTAATATTTTCTCTTATAGCAAGGACAAAAGCTTTCAAACACGTAATTTGTTTTCTTTTTTTTAGTACAAGTGCACGATGTACATATATACATTTAATTTCTGCGAAACATATTCCAAAACAGCAATAAATTAATATAAATTGAATAGACAAAATCTATAACAGTTTATAACGTTCGTACAGATGTTTTTATGTTGAAATAAGTAACACTGTTTAATATTATGAAAGTATAACATAATATAAGGTTGAACAGTTCTTTTAATGTTCTGTTGTTGTTTTAGTTCTACATCGTCACTTATTCTACACTTAATCACTTTTATTATTTTATGTATTATAAATAAAGTTGGTGCAAACCAACGGTTTGTATTGTAGCACTTTTCTCTTCAACAAGTGAAAACTTTGCTTTTAAATACATTCTATGTACACCTACCGGTCAATTAAAATTATTTTCATTCATAAATGAAACTATTTCTAGGATTGCATATTTTTAGGACTAACAATTTATGCAGTTTTTCAAATAAAGCAAAAATGAATTTAAAGAGGGGTTAACATAATGCTTGGTTTTAAGGGTTAATTCCGTGAGCTAAGAAAAATAATTATATTTTTTAATGTCATGGAATTTACCGTTAGCTTTTTGCGTTTTTAGGAATTTGTAAAAGCTTGCGGTTTCGGAAATATAAGGCGTCAAAAATTCAAATTTTACAAATTTCAAGAGGCGATTACTTGAGAGGCGGTGAAGATGGAAAAAAATGTTCTTCTAACGAAATAAACTATTTATTAGTGTCTAAAAACGACATAAAAAATTTGGAAAAAACGGATTTTAGAGAACGATAAGTTTGAACGTCAATTTTTTTTTAAAAGTTTAGCTATAGTATTCTCCTATAGGAGAAGCAAGCCACAGCCTTTCTGGCCGTGCAAAATTTGAAAAATGCTTATATTTTCACTGCAACAAATGGTCAAAAAATGGCATTTTTGGGTTTTAGAGTGGTATAACTTCTAGACGGGGGGAGATAGGTAAAAATTTTATTTTACGAAGATAAATTTCTAGTAAAGATCTATGTACATATTAAATTTCAGCTTTCTATCTTCAAGGGTGTAGAAGTTTTGTAAACATTTTTGGAAAAGTGCTGAAAAAAATACAGATAAAATTTTTGTGTTATAAAATACCTTTGTTGTTTTCAAATGAAAAAGGAAAATAAAATAAACAAGAACAAAACAAAAAAGAAAGGAACAACTGCAATTTCATTTGCTCATTCGCGACAAAGGTACGCTAAACATACATAAAAATAACTTTGTGCCGAAGGAAAGTTCCCTTTATTTTAAAACTAATTCTCTGAGATTTCTTTTTCTGAATTATTTTAACTTTCTTTTAAATAAACAAAAAACATTCCTCTCTATAGAAATAAGGGAAAAATTCAATTTTCCATAACATCAAAGCTTGGATTTTATTTTATTTGTTTTAAATATTTGTATGTTACCAACTATTTGTCCCACAATTGCAAATACACGTACATATATTATCATACTTGTAAAATATGCCATAAATATTTGTAAGTGTGATGTATTAGTTAAAAAGTTCATGAACTATTTTTTCTTAGACAATATTTTCATCCAATAGTAGTACAGTTACAAGCTTTCTAAATATCATTTTGGGAATTTGCTGAAAGAAACTTCATGTAATTTTTTGTTACATATATGCGTTTTTTTAAAAAACACTAATAAAAACAAAATTGCCTATCGCAAGGTGTTCGATTACGTAAAACAAACGGTAGGAGGAAATTTCATGAATAAGGGTTAATTGTGTGAGTTAAGAGAAATAGTTATATTTTTTAATGACACGGAATTTACCGTTAGCTTTTTGCGTTTATAGAAATTTTAAAAAGCTTGTGGTTTCGCAAACATAAGGTGCCAAATATTCAAATTTTACAAATTTTGAGAGGTAATAACTTGAAAGGGGTCGGAGATGGAAAAAAATTTTCTTCTAACGAAATAAACTATTTATGAATATCTAAGAGCTGCTAAAATTTCAGACTTCTGTTCTACGGAGATAAATTTTGTTCTACGGAGATAAATTTTTATTGAAGATCTATGTACGTATAAAATTTCAGCTTTCTATCTTCAAGGGTGTAGAAGTTTTGTAAATAGATGCACGGACAGACGGACATCGGCCCTATTAATATATTTGCTTGTGTGAAATTTCAATAACTTAGCTTTTATATTTTCTGAGATATAGCCTGAGATATTTTTCAAGTTGTATGGCAGGTACCAGAAGGAGCCAAGTAATTTCAACGACTTTTATCAAACACATCGGCAGTACTAATATATTTGCTTGTGTGAAATTTCAATACTACAGCTTTTCTAGTTTCTGAGATATAGCCAAATAACCTTTAAAGTTGTACGACAGCTACCAGAAGGACCCAAGCAATTTCAACGACTTTTACCAAACACATTGCCCCTTCTAATATATTCGTTTGTGTGAAATTTCAATACCACAGCTTTCATAGTTTCTGGGATACAGCCAAATAAATTTTGAGGTGTATGGCAGCTACCCGAACCGGTATCCCGATCATGTTCAAATTAAATAGTGTTCTGGCACTTACTACAATAAATCATTTGTGAAAATTTGGTGAATTTAACTCAATTAGTTTTTGAGTTATCGTTGGGATGGGCGAACGGACAGACAGAAAAAGCTAAATCGACTCAGAATTTGACGCTGATCAAAAACATACACTTGAGTCTATCTAGCACCGTTATTTCTTAGCGTTACAAACGGTAAGGCAAATTTATTATACCCTTCGAACACGTTCGTACGGGTATAAAAACACATAATCGACCGCAATACAAATTGCCTAGTTTAATGAATGTATAAATTTGACTCTTGGTAGAATTTCGCTTTGTGCCACCCAAAT